TTACACAAAATAGCGATAGTTTTATAATTTTCAACATCATTTTTGTTCCCATTATTAAAAACAGAGCACAGGAAAGACTGCATCCAAAAATCAGGAAAGGCACCTAATACGAGGGTTTGATTGAAGATTATGGATAGTGAAATAGCACATAGTACAAGGCCGGTATATTGTTGAAATAATCATATTTACCTTCAGACTATTTTATATTATCTTTACTAGTACCCAAAACAAATTTGTAGTAGGTACTAGTTATGATACTATTACTAGTAATAGTATCATGACTAGTACCTTCTACAAATTTGTCAGGCGATCCAATTTTTGATGACAGAGTTGTAATGTTGTGGTAAGACAATGGCAATAATGCAATGTGATCATTGTTTCTAAATATAAATAATATATAATCATAATTATGCCACTGAACTAATAACAAAATACTGTGTCAATACCATGAGTAGTTGAAAAGCTCAAATGATCTATAAGAATCTATCAGAGAGTTCTGCTGATTCTGCTGACGAATAATCTGAGTTGTTTACTAGATATTGCTAGCGTAATTCATTGCTGAACTGTGCTGTAGTCCGTAGAGTATGTGTTTCACACAGTGTCATTAGTTAAAAATTTAGTAGTTAAAACTAAAAATTCTTTGAAGACAACTAGCTCACTTAACTTTAAAATAATTTTTACAGCAAAAATTAAATTAAAAAAAAAGACTTTTCGGCATGGTTTGCAGTTCAATCAATCCATCTCAACCAAGAACATACCGATTTTGTATATCTCTAATGCCATAAAATCTAACTACTCCTATTTTTAAGTACACCGGCTTGCGTGGGCACTAATATCTGTAAATAAAATTTCCGCTAGCCTAATAAAAACTATGTTGAGTGCAGAATGTTGCGTTGGAGCCACATGAAGTGTCCAATTAACGTCTGTAATGGATTCCAATATACGACCTGTTGTCGGTGGCAATGATCTGGGAACAAATTGAGACTAACCAGAAACCGATAGATACCTAAGTATGATTTGCGTAATTCGGTTTTTAGATAAGCCTTATGTGGCTTCCACTTACACTCAAGACATCCGTGAAATTAGTAAATAGTTTTTGCTAATGGATATTCGGACAAATCAATTATGAGCTAGAGAAGTTGTTTTTCTTTGATAGCAAACAAGAGATTTTTATAGGAAAAAAACATTTGATGGAGATTCTATTCATAACACTTCGAAAATTTAAAATTAATGAAGTTCAAAATTTTTTTTCATTAATATTTTACGATAACTTAGTTCAGTTAAATTTTTTCAAATTTGATACACTTTCTGTCGGTAACAAACTATCTATGAAAAAAAAAATCATAGTACAAAATTACTCAATAATAATTAAATTTAAATCATATTAGAGAAAAAGTGTCAACTCTTAACTGATTTTACATACTCAGAATAAAGTCAAAAGTCTCTCATTTCATAGTTAGCCATCAAAATCTGCCAAATCATGTTCAATATGGATTACAATATAATCAATTCAAATGTCATCTTTATTTTTATTAAATTTGGATCAATCATGTCATTTTTATACTATTTCATTTATAGCATTATAAGCAATCTCTCTTGTTTTGATTCACCAATCACTCCATTATTATACCAACAAAACTCATGTGTACTGAATTTTTGTAGCTAATAGAACCCAATATTCATGTTTTGTATGTCTGTTACTAGGCTAACAAAGTTAAGCAAAGTGAACTGAATTCAAAAATATAAAAGTAAATATGACAAAATATTCTTGTCAAATATCATTCGAGACAATGGTCTAGTTAGTTTCTTTTTTCTTCATTTTGATCTTCCAAAAGATAAAATTGCTCTTGTATTTTTATGTTTATAAGATTAGATTCAGATTTTATTCAAGTAAATGAGAAATAAAGGTTACACTTGCCACAAAAACCAAAAACCTGAATAAGCATTTCCGGGCAAAAGCATCTTCTGATATTATATACGATTAATTTATGAACACTGTAAAAAAAAGACATTATTACTTACCGAAATTTAAACAAAACAACAGTCTCAAAATATTAAATAAATTCGGTTAATGGACATTTTTGTAATGGGCAGATACTTATTTTTTTAAATTTTAAACAAAAAAGGTAGAATCAAAGAGCCACTTAAGAGCTTTAGAATGTTGATAAGTTTTTGTTTGTTTGTTTAATAGTTATATTCCAGTAGCCTGACATTTAATTTCAAAATAACATATACCTACACTTCGCAATTAAATTATTGCAACAAAATTTTTCATCGAAATTTTGCCATTTTTCTAATCCGTATAACTGTCAATTATCATCGTGTCAAGACAATTTTTTTTCATTCTGTAGGTAATTATCTGTACTTTAAAAAGTCGAAAAGAGTTGAAGCCGCATCTCCTTGTCCTAATAAAGCATTTCTTTTTCTTAAACAATTTGATTCCTTCACGCGTTACCTGGATCGTCCCCATTTTTTTCAAAAATAACACATAGACCATAGTAAAGTGCACTTTCTAACAAGCAATTTGAAAAAAAATCGCATCTATGATCTTTTTTGACCAAGTTATGCCATTTTCTTCGTATGTTTCTAACGAATACTGCCAACATTTTTTCTTAGAGTACAAATAATTACCTACAAAAAAAATCGTTTTGATACGATGAAAATTGACGAAGCCATGCGCATTAGAAAAATGGTAAGTATTTTGTTGCGATAATTTTGTTGCGTAGTGTAGTTTAATTCAAAACTGAAGAACTTTTCATAAAATAATTCACAAATGAAATAGACAGAGCATTTTGTTTCAAATAGTACTTAAAATATTATCTATTGAACCACCTCGTATCAACAAACAACTTTTCCTCGAGTATTATCATTAAAAGTTCATTTAAACTTTGCATTCCCAGAAGTCGCAAACGCTGAAATTTTTAATAATGCATTAACCCCCTAATTAATATCATCCGAGGGTAACGAGAACGGCAAACGACTGCCGCCTCCCCAAGGAACCTCCCCTATAAACAGATGAATAATAGAGCCGTTCTATGCACCCCTATTTGCGTCTCTATCTTCAATATGTTTTAGCAAACGACCCTAGGAGTTTTTTCGACAGTAACTAGACTGCAGTTAGCAGAACTGCTTTCACAGTTCGCTGATTAGAAAGGGGGTGCAAACTTAATCGCCTGTAGGGGCACACAGACCTGCCGAGATGAAAATCACGGATGGTATTAGCGAAGATCGACGTAAAATTCCATATTATTCGTAGAAATATTTTGTGCAGGTATCACATTGATACGATGAGAACTTTTTTGGAACCGCTGATTCTACCGATGGCTCATACATACTTCATGATATATACTTCAAAGACAAAGGTTTTTTTACAAAAATAAGACAATTCCGTATGAAACTAAAGTAGAAATAATAATTACCCAGAATTAGCGATTTTTGTGTTTACTACAAAAACAGAACAAAAAAGCTAACAATACGCAATTTATAGCCACCTCCTTTTATGAAATATGCAAGTCGGAGACGATTCCAGAGGTTCTCAATAAGTTTTAACAATTTTAATTATTATTAATTTTAAGCAAAGTTTAAGCATCAGAATGAAGCAATTTTGTTTATTTAATTCATACCATTGTCCTACATTTTTTTCTGTATTACCATAAAGAGTACTACTATGTAATGCAGTTGCTTAAAGTTGAAACCGAGGTTGAAACAAATAGGTATCAGTTCTAGAATAAATACAGTGTGAATCTCTAAAATTCCGGACACCTTTCTAAATTTCGCTAAAGCGAACGAATCGAATGAGTCTTTTATATACACGGTGTCCCATTTTAAATAACGTATTGCATTATCTTATTGTTAGCGAAGTATTTCCAAGAGAAACTTTTTAGACAAAAGTTGGTGGGTTCTGAGGGGGACATTCGATGGTGACTTTAACCTTGACACAAAGGTTAACCGTTGAGGTAATTTGAAGGTCACTTGGATTTTTAGATATGACACCGGAAATGAATACAGCGGAAAATGTTATGAATCAAAATGACAATAAACGTTTATTTTAGGGCCAAATAAGGTTCTGAATAAGATTTTGCAATTTTTCGGGAAATCACTTAGACGAAGGATTCTGGTTAAGTTTTAATGGGGTCATACGATAATGACCTTGACCGTGACCTAGAGGTCAGGCTTGAGGGTTATTTGAAGGTCAAATCAAGTTACGAAATAGGAGAACCTTGTTTGCAGCCCCATTAAGTTAAGGCAAGATTATTATGGCCGGGGCAGTCAGGGCAAGGTCGCTATGACCTTGGTCGAAGCAATGTCGCCTTGATTGGCTGTTTTACAGCGATCCTGCTTTGACTGGCTAGGCCACAACGATCTTGCCTTCACTTAATGGGGCTGCAAACAGAATTCCCCTATTTCGTAACTTGATTTGACCTTCAAAGAACCTTCGAACCTGACCTCTAGGTCATGACCAAGGTCATCATCGTATGATCACATCGAACCATGGCACTTTCAACCAGAATTCTTCGTCGTAAATGTTTTTCCGAAAAATATCGCAAATTCTTATTCAAAACCTTATTTGGCCCTAAAATAACCGTTAATGGTTATTTTGACCCATAACATGTCGCAATGAACCCAAAATTTTACGATGAAATTACGATGATCCAGTTACAATGCACGGCCAACCACGATTTTTTTAGAAATTTCGGGAAAAATAGTTTTTAATTTTAAATTAAAAACCTGATGACCTAAGATTTTTATTTATGTAGGTATTTATTTATAAAAGTATTTTCTCTCTTGCCCATTTCGACCATGGACATACTGTATACAATAAATTCCGAATACACGATTCGAAATGCACAGGAATCAAGTTCTCTGTTACTTTTGAATCAGTCAGTGGCGTAATGAAGGGGTTAAAATGTAAAATATACTTTAATCGACACCAAAAGAGTATATTAACCCACCATTAAACCTAATATATTTTTTGATTCAACAAAACTGTAACTACTCACCAATCAGGAAGCAGGGCACGTACTCTATCTTCCCCGAGAGGTGGGTAATGCAAAGAAGCACATCGCCGAGCATTAGACAGGCCACGTGGTGGGTCTGACAACGCCAATGCAACACGTGGTGGCTGGCTGGCAGTAGCGAACCCGCTGCCAGCGTGGCGACCAGGAAGATGACGCTCAGCGCCAGGCCGATGGGGTAGATGGTGAAACGGAGGTCCGTCTCTGTTCTGGTGGCCTCCACCATGACGTGGGGTTGCACATAGTCGGGGCAGGATATCACTTTGGCGGAGCGACCTGAAAAAAAAAAGTTAAAAATAACATTTCTTAAAGAACGATGTGCAGTCTGCGACGCGCGTCTTGCGATTTTCGCTCATCGGAATACGCTTACGCTGGTTTACGATGCTGTAGTTCAACAACAAAAAGTGGTCTGTACATTTGATTTGACCCAAAATTTTGAGTAATTGGCATAAAATTTGATGATGTTCTGCTGAGCCCTGGTTTTACGTAAAAAAGATGGGATATCTTCCTCCAAAATCTTTTGAATAGCTGCGAAAAGGTTTTCTTGATGCGGACTGATTCCAGTTTTTTTCAGTAAATATGGCAAATCTTTTAAATTTTTATGAGACATAAGACTGTCCCCTATTTTGGTGCAAGAATTACATATATTATAAGGTTTTAAATTAGTTTTTTGGTTGTTCACTGCCATGATATAATCATTGTAAACAATTAGAAGCTAGAGAAAATGACTGTAAACGTGACGTATAGCGAAGACGATTTTGACATCACAAGCCTAAACCTACTTAATTGCAGCTATGATTTTTTAAGAATCATTGATATATTGCCACAGACATCGGTTTTCCACAAAAACTTACTTTCCCTCTATTTTAGTAATACTAAGTGAATTATACTGCATACTACATAAATATCTGAATTCAAAAATAAATTAAATGCCTTTTTTATTACTAAAGTGAATGTAATGTGCTGTTTTTATGTTTAATAAGGATCATTAATAAACTGTCATAGACATCGCATTTCTACAAAAACTTACTTCCCTTCTATTTTAGTAATACTAAGTGAATTGTACTGCAAAGATAAATATTTGAATTTAAAAATTAAATGCCTTTTTTATTACTAAAGTGCAAGGAATGTGTTTTTTATGTTTTAGTAAGTATCTTTGATAAACTGCCATAGACATCACTTTTCTACAAAAACTTACTTTCCTTCTATTTTAGTAATATTAAGTGAATTGTATTGCAAATATCTGAAATCAAAAATTAAATGTCTCATTTATTACTAAAGTGAAAGGAACGTGTTGTTTTTTTATGTTTTATTAAATTATGTGACGTTTAAGAAGAAAAAAGTATGTCATGCACCACAAAACAATGTCTACCTGTCAAGCCAACTTTATTTTGGCGAAATTAGTTTCAAAATGTAACGTCAAATTTTTAAAATAAATTTTGGGTGGAAAATTTTCTTACCGAATCCCCCACGTCCTTGAATTAATGTCCAGAAATTTTTCCTCAATCACGCATTTTTCTAGAAATTTTCAAAAAATGCGTTCCTTCGGAAAAATTTCCGAAAATAATTCAAGCACTAGGCAGATTATAAGTGAAAATTCAATGAATATCGCCAAGCCGACCTTTTGAGCCGCAAAACCGGGAGGAGGGGATGAATTATAGAAATTTCTGCTATTTCTTTTGCGTTTTTTTTTTGCAAAATCTGTGAGGGATACAGCTATAGTCTGTTTGGAAATGAAAGAGAGTAATAAAACCCCGAGATAAGAACCAGCCATGGCCGTGGTAATATTTCGTTTCAGGTAATTATCGGGTAACACTAATGCTAACAAAAATGACAGGGATTGGAAAATCGACTATCTACAGACTTTTAAAGGAAACAAAAAATGAACAAGATACTGTAAATCCCCCAAAATCATCTACAGGGAGGTCAAAAGTCGTTATAGATGATTTCTTCAAAAATGTCATTCGCAGAAAAGTACACTCATTTTATTTTAAAAAAGAAATACCAACGCTAAACAAAATTTTAAGTGAACTTTCAGAGGACAACGATTTGCCAAAAATCAGTAGAAGCAAATTATGGGCCGTCTTACGAGAGTTGAATTTTTGCTGGGAAAAGCAGAACAGGAAGTCAGTTCTTATCGATAAAGATGAAATTATTTGTTGGCGAAGATCCTACTTAAGATCAATTAGAAAATTCCGTG